CTGAAAAAAAGAAAAAGAAAACTGCACTTTCTTTGTGCTGTCAGGCTTGGCCCTTTCCTCTCTGTAAATGCAGGTCTGTGGCAAATATGGAGCCTTCTGCGGAGTCAGAGATCTAGTGATAAAAAGCGGCTCCTTTTTTCCACTCAGCTCGTAGCAGACAGCATGCTGATTTACATAGTGCAGTGACAAGGACGACAGCTGCTGCCGTGTTCCGAGATGGAAAATATATCTCCGCTCCTTTCACATCACAACCCTTCCTCTTTCCCTTTCTTCACTTTAACCCCAGTTCACATCAGCTCTGTATTTATATCGCCCACTTCCTGTCATTGGTGTTTCTGTTGCTCGACACCACTGTTTCCAGGTTAACGGTGAGATTAACGGGAGAGCAGCATAATGACCCAAGCGCAGAAGAGAGGGGGGGCGAAAACAAATGTAAGATGCATTAAATACAGCATGAAAAGGAGGAACTGGGTTCCCAAGTGGCTTGCAGGATGTAGCAAATATGCATCAGCTTAAACTGAATGCCCTGTTTGTCACTTTGCTAATAGAAGGTTTAGAGGTGTATCAAGTGAAATGACACTATGCTTGATTTTCAAGTCACGATTTTGGCAGTTGATTATGAAAACAAGATAAAAAGATTTTTGCTCCACATTTGGCTTCATTTGGATGATTAGTTTAAAATGCCTGGGTTTATTATTAGCTTTCCCAATTAGTGAACATGACAATGATGGTTCAGAAGACAGGGTGGGAGTGGAGTGGCCGGTGCTTTGCTGTCCACTGGTGATAAAAACAGCCTTAGGTCAAAGACTGGGAGGCTTTTATTGTTTCTCTCAGGGGGAGTGTTGGTGATGGGTGCTGGCTATCGTCTGTTCTTGGAGGACATGCAGCAGTGCACATAATCAATGTCATGCTGAGCCAGTGTACATGTATCGGTGTGGGCGTGAGCACATGTGGGAGCAAAATGCACGCCCTCTGATAGGCTAAGTCCACCGGCCTCTGTGGATCAGACGATTGAGTGCACTAAGATCCCATCTAACAGAAATAACTCATTTTCATGTCTGATTTCACACCCTCTCGCTGTGTTCACTGTTATCACACAGAAGATGTAAAACACGTTTAATTAATTCACGAAACTGTGTGATTTGCATTTTGCAGCGGCAGAATATGCAGCGCTGGTTATATTCAAAATATTATTATCAATTAATGTAATTAATTTTAGATTACACAATAAATCTAACTCGAGAAGCTGTGTTTTTAAAGTGCTTTGCATGCAGGTGTGTAAAACCATGCATTAAAAATCAATAAAACGGATCGATGAAACCCTGACTGACTCATATATCACTTTTATTACAGCCGAAGCAGATTAATCAAATCACAGTGTTTTATAAAGTGAAATGAAGCATTTTGCAGTGGGAGAGGGTATTTTTCCTGTGTATTTTACACTAGGTGTTAGCCAGGAAGATCATTGTAATCATTTAAAGGAGATCCAGCAGAGAAATTAGCAACATAATCCAGCTGATTCAAATGTAGCTTTCTGTCAAATTTAGCACAATATACACTTTTTCCCCACTTTAACATAAATTTCTACTTTAAGACAACTTCTTTCTCTTTAAAAGAGTGATCTGGGAGTGCAAGGATATAAAATATCAATGGTTAATATTTAATGAATCTGTAAATATTTGTTAAAAATAGCGAATGTGATAATAAATAACGTGTTTAATATTATATAACTGCCATGCTTTCATGAGGATAAACAGCCCACCACCTGCAGCTCCTCAAAGCCAGTGTAGCAACTTCTGGATTTGCACTGGATTTGAACCCTACTCTTCTAGGTGAAAACCCTGGAAGAGTTAAAGTTAAAAGGTGTGTCTAGAACCTGACCAATCAGTAGTCTGCCATTTACACTACAAGATCCTGAAGACGTTGAAGCTATAGGAAAAAGCAAAGTATCCTCGACTCCAAGCAAACAGCGACTTGATACTTCTGTGATTTATAGTCAGTGTGGCAAAGAATCCAACACCCCATTTGTAAGCTTTGCCAGTGTTGCAGGACTTGTAATCGTTCAGCCAAACTACCTGGTTAAGTGCTACGTACTGATGTTGATGGACTTCAGCGACAGTCGGTACTAGTTTGTTAACACAAATTAAGTCTAGTAAATACTCAAACACTGTTGTGTCTGCGCCTCGCCGACTGTTCCCCTGCAACCAAAACACTGAATCTGTCATTCCTCGCACTATATTATCTAATCACCACATGAATAATCTTTACAAACAAGGCAACGTCCTGCATAATTTCCCTGCTCTCACATTGTCAGCTTGCAGCACATCCCGTTTTTGGCCATCACTCCGAAAGCTCCATTTTTCTCTGACTATGGGATCTGTCCACAGGAGGTGGTGCTGAAATTTCACCCTGCGCACAGGACCACTGTCCATGGTTCTGAATCAGCACTGCACGGCCTGAGCGCAGAGGCACAGGCTCCCACAGAGAGAAAAAAAATAAGAATTTTGCTGGCTGGATGAACGGATGGAGCAGCTTGGACTTTGTCTCAGCTGGGACTGTCTGTAAGTGGCAAACAAGCCAGAGTCTCAGCAGGCAGGGAGCTCCACGCCCTGTTTGCTTCAGAGCTGTCACATGTGACAGCGTCATCTACAAAGAGATGGGGAGCTGGAGGTCTGAATACATCCCTTAGATAGACAGAAAAAACGATTGTGGCTAGAGCTAGGTCGGACATTGCCTGCCTCAGTAGAATATCCTAAAAAAAAAACCCAGCTGAATGTGTGACACAAAAGAAAGACAGCAGTTGCACTTTTTCGATGATCAAAAGCCTTTTCTGTTTTGTTTGGGGTTTTTTACATCCTGCCTGTGTTTTAAAATTCAGGCCGACACATTGAGGATGCAATTCCAGTGGGACGTTGTGTGAAAAGAACGGCTGATCCCTGGTCATGAGAGGCCAACCCCACTCCATCCTGTCTTTCCCTGGAGTAGAAAAGCCAGCCAATCAGAGAGGACGAGGCAATGAGTCACGGAGAGAGCAGACCGCATCCAGTGGACCGAAAGGAGCTGTCTGGCGCTCTGGGCAGCAAAAGCGGTAACGTCCATGGATGGAGCGATCCGCTCAGGTCTCCAACACACACAAACGTACAGGAGATACATGTGATTTACAGATAGATTGGGATTTTTTTCTCTAAGTTTCAATTAATTTAATGTAAAAAGTAAAAAATTTCCCTCTTCCTTACCATAGTTTATGACTCTTGCTCTCTCTTTTATGAGATTTATGAGAGAGTTTATTACTCTCAGATATTACCAGCCCTCAATAACTCACAAAGCGCCCACTGTAACGTTGCAAGGTTGTGTGAAGGTCAGCATATTGCTTACTTCCACAACTCAGGCCGAGATGTGTTAAAGCTTTGCAATACTATAGCACGGTACCTGACATTCAAGGCTAAACGGCTGTTTAAATAAACAAAAACACAGTGAATAGGCCATGTGAACGAGTGCCTGAGACGCTCATTAACTATTGATGCGAAGGGAGCTCTCGCAGTCAGATACGTAGCACACAGCACAGACACCTACGTGCAACACACACAGTTGTGAAATCACATGACAATGCCAGCGGGTGTAATATTTTCCCAAAAAAATGATTAAATTATTCTCAAAGTGAATTAATCTTATTAAATAGCTTCCATAAATTACTCATGATCTTACACATAAATCAAATGATAACAATGGAATGAATATGAGAGATGAGCAGGTTTTTCATGTCCTCTACTGGACGTACAAATCCATTTTCCAATGAGCCACAAAGGCGCTGCGGATGTGAAAAGAATTTATTGGACCTTGTAGGAGAATAAAGGATTTGGAAGGTGATGGGAAAATTTAGTAAAACCCAAATGTATTGGTTTTGAGCCTGAAAAGACTGGAGCTTTGTGCTGCCTTGTTCTAGCGCAAGACTGACAGACGGGCACTGTTTGAACCCCCACAATCTGCCAACTTTCACCTCTTTCATGTCTACTGTACCTCAGCTCGCGTGGATGGATGGGTGGAGGGAAGAATTCGAAGGAAGAGAGATCGACTAGTTCATTTCACTGGAATCTGGGATAATGAGGCCAGAGAGAGCGCGAGAGAGAGAGGAAGAGATAAGGCACGACAAAGGGGAAATGACAAACGGTGGGGTAGGCAGCACGTTGATTCGATTACAGCACAACTTCTCATTAAACGACATAGAAAGCCAGCCCTGGGTCAGGAAGCCACAATACTAAATACATAGTGGATACACCTGCTAAGAGCAGCATGTTTGTTCTCTTGGCTGTAGGGCAGTAATGGTTTCCTCTGACTGTACCGCTGCCACCCTGAGACAGCCGTTGATCTGGAGCTCGGGCTAACCCTGTGTGGGAGTCTGCTTACTCCCCCTCACCCCACCCCACTCCACCCCACCCCACCACCGTCACAACTTAAAAATGTTGAAGCACACCGAACAAACATTTTGAGCAGTACCACAAGAAAAACTGATTCCACGTGTAGAAAGTATTTACCGACCCACTATTAGAACCACAAGCACTTTCTCCAATATTAGTCTAATCTTGGAAATATGTTTTGTTTTTTTTTGTTTCCCTTTTTAGTAAATCCTGTCAATGTAAATCTGACATCCTGTCATCCATCTGTCACCCTGGATAAGCCCTTGTCAAAAAGAAACGGCACCTCCTACCCTTCCTCCTCCTCTTCTCTTCCTCTATACGACCTGACTCTTCCAATCACTATTACAGTACGGAGTCCTCAGAGCCATGTTTGCTGACACGCTCAAGCTCACACACACGCACACATCACAGGCAGCGTGTTCTCTGGATTTCAAGCGGGCATGCGGTATTTTTTAAAGCAGCACAGCAAAGCGGAGCTCCCGTGCCTTTTTGACTGTAAAAACATGCCGTCTCCATCTCCACGCTGCGATTCTCCACTGTTACCTTTTTGTGAGGGGAGAAAACAAAATAAAAGACATCTCTTACCTGGCAGCACGCTGTCTACCCTGGGTCCTCTTCACAATCCCAGGAAGGGGTTCAAGTTTGCAGCGCGAGCTCGATGTGACACTTTGAAAAGAAGGGGGAAAAAAAGGAAAACCAAAATAAGTGGCTAAAAAGCAATGTCCCCCTTTATTCTTTCACACACGACGGCTCAAGAAGCACTCACGATCATACACTTGAACACCCAGTTGACAGCTCCGGCAGGCGAGCAGCTCACTGTTCCTTCCCTCCCTCTCCCTCCCTCTCTGTTCTCTGTCCCTGACACTAGCCTCCTCTCTTCCCGCCCACCTACTCCAGCCCCCTCCCCCAGCTTCTCTCTTTTTCCATCGGTCTCCTCACTTGCTCTTCCTCTGTCAGACAAAATGCACACATCCCCTTATTCTCTCAGCTCACTATTTTTTTTTTTTACATTTCCCCTCACCCGCTCACACGCTCTGCTCCGTGAAAACAAATATCAGTCGGAGGTACTATTAGATGTGCATTTCCACATGCCATCTACAAACTTATTCTTGTTTGATGAACCATTTCAAAAGATATTTTCTCTCGGAATAAGACAAAGCCAGTCATGAAAGGCTAATAACATCAGATGGTGGGATTAATGAATAATGCTAATGAGGCGTTCATACTGTATACGATTTAGAGTCCCCACTGAGAGCCATCCCTTAATTCCCCCCCTCTCAATACTCGTTCCCCATCTTGCTGTCTCACTCCATCTATCCCTTTCTCTCTTCAGGTCTCACTAGTGTATCCGATGCTGCTCACGTCCCATTCTGCAGACAGCTAGTCAAGGGCATTCCCAGAGTAAGTGTATGCAAATGCTCTGCCTCGAGGAGCTGCCTCGTGTCCCTTCGACACTCAGCCGGACCAGATGTGGCACATGGCTCTTCCAAGGAGAGGGCAGCAGATGCAAAGGCAAAGGAGAGCCAGCAACAGCAATCTTCTCAGCAGTCGTGACCTCGCTTCAGTGGACACATTGAGGCCGGCGGCACCTGAACTGATACTCTGAAATATACGAGAACCTAGGCTGACTTCCAGCTTTAGTTTGAGGGCAAAATAAGATAGAAAAGAGCCCTACACTGACTGAAATATCTGATAATATTTCTGATTAATATAATATATGATACTAAAATGTTACGTGTTAAATGCTTTATCCATTTCCACTTTTATGGTCATTAATAATTCATTGTTTACTAAGTAGCTTGTCAAAATTACACATGTACAAGCTATGCTACATTCACTGCCCTGCCTCTTTGTCAAAGGTGTCAGTATTATGGTGGATAATGTTAGTTGAAGTGATCCTGGGACATGTTATATCAGACAAACTGTGCCAGTACATTTTATTGAATTGAGAAATGCGTGCCCCTGAAAAATCCTAAATCCTTACTCAGTATTTGGCAGTATGTTCTGGGGTGCCCCATTCTTCCATGTACATATTAACAGTAGAAAACTGACTGACTTACCCCATACACAAAACAGAGCAAGAACTGAAAAGAGTGGGGTGTAAACCAGCTAGCATGGCAGGCAATTTGACTACCCTTAATTTTAGTTATAACATATTTTTTCAGTCATGATACTTGGCCACATCCAGTGATTTGGGCTGTTATGGCATGATGTCTACAGTTTTGTCATCTTTTTCTTTTGCTTCTACACAAAAGTGGCCCATAAATGGAGCAGCCATCTCAAGTCTGTGATCCCTCTATTTCATCATATGCCATACATCCTGTCACACCAGCCCTCTGCATGTCCTCCTTCACTACATTCATTAACCTTCTCTTTGGCTCTTTTCCTTCTGCCCAGCAGCATTAAACATCTTTAGCCCAGTATATCCCTCCCTTCTCTCTTACTGTCTTCCTCCTCTCCTCTTCCTGTGTCTTCAGACTAGCACACTTTCCACCAGCACCCTCTGACCAATCTGATATGGAAATCTTACTAATGACCTCCATGCTTTTGCTGGGTTTCCTTCCTGATGCAACCCTCCCCCTGGTGCTTTGGACTGGAACTAAGAGTACACTGGCTTGTGACACTGCATTACTGTACAAGTAACATTACAACCCAGACATAAAAACCTCCTTTTCATGTGTTCACATGTGGAATCAGTGACTAAGAGTTCCACGCCTCCCTGTTATGTTCATCTGCACTTCCATCGATAATCAGCCAGGCGCTCCTCTTCTTAACGGGTCATGTGTCATCCAATCATCCTCACTCAATGAAATCCTTGAATCCCTTTAGTGTTTCCTTGTTTTGTCTACAGATTAATAATAACACACGTGAACAGTATCCATTTTCTTCTCTGCAACAGATCTGCTACATGAGCTGGGAGAGCAAAGGAAGTCTGCAGCAAACTGTAACTCTGTGAGATACAGTATGTTTCTGCAGGCTTGAACAGATGTTACATGTGTGTGCAAGTGTGTCTGTGTGTGTCTGCATATGTCTATGGAGAGACCCAGTGTGTGAATAAAGTGCACAGGCTGATAAAGCACAATGAGACACATGGCACTGCTGACAGCAGCCCACACACACACACACACACACACGCATGAGAGCTAACAGACATATAGGAGGGACAGAGGCAAAGCAAACAGGGAGTATGTGTTAATGATTACCAGCTAGCACCCTGCCTGGACTCAGGCACAGCTTCTCTGTACATAAGCTTTGGTTCACTGGTTCTGTGCGTTCTGTGTGCGTTTCTTGTATTGTGTAGCTGTGGGGGGATCGATTACTGGGTAAGGTGATGTGGCCATCGCAGATTTGCAGCTCAGCAGTCTTATGGTTCGACCCTAATGAGAAGAAAGGGAAGTACATTCATGCTGAGCTGTGCAGGCCATCCTCTATGGAGAATATCTGTTGTGTAGCTCAACCTAGTGTCCTAAACACACAGGCCAGCACTTCAGAGGCCACTCACTATCGCAGCTAGGGGCTGGAAATTGTAAACCTGAAACACGTCTATGCTTATCTCCTTGCGAACGTAAACTGGCTGGAAGTAAGATAATAGTTTTGGCCAAATAATTTCCCTGAGACAGAGAATAAACATTTGGGTAAGTTTATATAATGTGTATGCAGTATAATGAGTTGTTTTAAGATTAAAAATGCCCTAAACGGGAAAAATGCAGGCAGCTGTCAAATCACTGCAGCTTAACTGAGAGTCCGGGTCCAGATTAAGGCCCTCTGTTAATGTCACTGAGCCCCAAAGGTACAGCAAGAACCACCCAGACACTGAAAGACCAAAAAAAACTTTGATTTGTAATGTCTGCACATCATATTCTGCAGGAAAGGAAAAATATTTCCTCTACTGAATTTTACTGAAACTTTACAAGTAATGGGGGAGGCTTCTATTCAAAATCCACTAAGTTCCCTCCTTATTTAGTTTTGCTGGCACTGGTCTTGCATGTACAGCTGTGAGCTGGGAGAGCTGGTTGATTGGGTTTAACAGCGTCAGACGCCAACCTTGAGCCTGTTTTTTTCAGAATATGAGGTTGGCAAGGTGGAGTAACTAACAATTTTGTGATTCAGGAGACCGTGATTCATGTCCAATTTGGATTTCAGTTTTTTTACATTTTGTTTTGCTGCATTTTCACTTCAGCCTTCACTTGCCAGGTATATTTAAGAATCAAAAACAGGCTTTGGTTTCTGAAAGTATTGTGGCTGGGACTAAATTATACCCCCTGAAAACAGTAACCCTGCATGCTGAAAATTTATGCTTACCCATTGGGTTTAAATGTGATGCCAAGGGGCCTTTACAAGCGTCCATATGTAAGTGCTTAGGAGCGAGAAACCTATTTCAATATTTCCATGACCCGCTGCACCGCGGCACTGACGCCAAAGGACATAATGTGTTTATCTCAGGACAAAATGGCAGTGGAGCCAAGAACTGGCTCCAAACGGCCAGTCAGAATCCAGACTCAAAACTCGTACATGTAGGTTTTCAAATCATATGCAAGCCCTACACAGTTTCTGCACCATGTTCATACACAATATTAAAAATGAAATAAAACAAAAAAGTCAGGATCAGTGCTAGCCATTCACATTGAGACTTTATAATTTAGATTTTATTTAGAGGCCACCGTGGCTCAGGGGGTTGGGAATCGCATCTGTAACCGGAAGGTCGCCGGTTCGATCCCTGGGCTCTCTGTCCTGGTGTCCTTGGGCAAGACACTTTACCCTACTTGCCTACTGGTGTTGGCCAGAGGGGCCGATGGCGCGATATGGCAGCCTCGCTTCTGTCAGTCTGCCCCAGGGCAGCTGTGGCTACAACTGTAGCTTGCCTCCACCAGTGTGTGAATGAATAGTGGTATTGTAAAGCGCTTTGGGTGCCTTGAAAAGCGCTATATAAATCCAATCCATTATTATTATAAAAAAGGTCAACTCCCTCCAAGCCCAGTCTAAAACAAACATTGTGTCCTCCGCTCTCGAAGGAAACTTTCATTACCTCTGGTTTTGCACAGGTTGATGGAAGTCACCCACTTCAACATTTCAAAAGAAACGGGCAGGGAATATGAAGAGGAAAACTAAGAGTGAAAATCTTTCAGCCCAGAAACCCGTCAGTTCAACCGAGATTGAACAAGAAAGGAAAAGCGAGGAACAGAGATCAACAGTGTGAAAGAGGAAGAAGAAGGGCGAAATGGCATTTAGAAGAAAAAGGCGGTGAACAAAAAGGACAATTTCCTAAATGTCACGGGCATTTGAATGGTCACCTTTGGACACAGCAAATTACGGGTCTTATTCAAGCGCTGGATGTGAAGCAGTTAGAAGTAGCTTTTGTAACTCATCTATACAAACCTTAATCAATAATGATTTGTTCTCTCTTCCACATAGCTGCCCTCAAATTTAATTGCAACGGAACAACAATGTGATGATTAAAAGTGAATACCATAAAAAATTATTCAGTAATTCTTCATGTTTCACATTTTTGATTGATATAATTAGAAAAATTGTTCTCCCACCAAACAACTGCAACTCTAGTTGTCTAGTAACTCTAGTTTTTGGGTGAATTGTGATCCCCAGGTTATTGTTTCAGTTAGCTCAGTATCTTTGGAATAAATTAAATGCATGTAGGTATATCTGTGTAT